AGGTTAATGAAGGAAACAAGGAAAAGAAAACCTCAGCTGAAAGGCTGTCCACGGGATGTCTCGCAGCTGCCTCGTGCAACCTGTGGAGCAGTGCTGCAATGCCAGGAGCCGTTTCCACAGTCCCGAATCGAGCGCAAGGCTACTCCCTCACTCCTCCCACTCTCCAGGTAGAGCCCCCCAGGGTGAGGCTGCCCCACTGCCCCATGGCTTCTCTGCCCGCACCCCTGACAGACAGGCATTTGCAGGGGCTGTGGGACAGCTGGAAGTCACATAGCTGCTCCTTGGTAAAGTGTTTAGAAAATAATGAAGGAGTAGCAGCACTCCAAAGGCAGCCATCATCAGCTGTCTGTAGTCAAGACACGGGATGCTGAATGCACTCTCCTGGTCTAAGGCTGCCACGGCAGTGGAAAAAAAGGTTGCTGATGGTTTGAAGGCGTTTGGGAGCAATTGCAGTGCCTGAAAGCCACAGGGCCACGTTGTCAGCATTTCTGAGAGTGAACTACGCAGAGGATTGCCTCTAACAGAAGAACTCTGCTCTACTGCCCGCGCATCATCCTGCAACTGCAAACCGTGCCCCTTCTGCTCTGCACAGCACTTGGCAGAGGCATTAAGGACCGTTTCTCCCCAAGGTACCTTGTCTGCTGTTGCTTCCCACTGCTGCATGGCTTGCTGCATACTTTCTCATGAAGTTTATGAATATAGCTTTAATTGACAATGTCATGCCAATACATCTTAATTACTGTTTTAACAATATAATTAAGCATTGAATTTATGCACAGTTGCAAGCACAGTGCCTTGCTTATCTGAAGTAATGAACTCTGATAGTAATGAACCCACTAATTGAAACAGTATGTAGCTTAGGGTGCCATTAGCTGCACAATATTACCATTACTAGTACGATAATATTAAAAATTGTAACAAAAGGCACAGCTTTCAGGTTCAAGATACATTAGGTCTGCATATACCAGTTAAAAGAAAAGCAATCACCAAGTTATATGTTTCAAATTTGTTTTAGAATAATGGTAGCAACTGTTGTGTACTAATGAAATTGTTTCCCAGCTCAGTTAATGCACATGTGGGGAAACACACCGTTAACAAGAGACACAGAATTAGGACCTGTGTAGGTTGCCTCAGCTGCAAACGACCACAAATGTGAAGAAGTCCCGTGCTGAGTGTTCACTCACAGGGTACCAGAATGTTGATACAGGACAGTAAGAAGATGTACAAATAACTCTGCCTGATCTGTCTGGGAAGGCCAAGGCTGATATCTTGCATCATTTCAGACAAGAACCACATTCAGTAGGTTGGACACAATCATCTCCATCACCGGAAGAGCAAAAAGGAAGGTGCTAGAAAGTGCCAACAAAATTCTGGCAACAAAACTCTTTCTGCCAGACTGGAAAGATTGTTATAGCACTGACTATATATTTTAATGTGGTACTAGGGTATCTACTTCTTTTTCACATTGAAACAAAAGCAGATTTTCTTCTTGTCTTTCTATTGCTGTGCTGACCTCTAAGAAGAGGCTAACTTACAATGCTGCTCTGGTGCACTGCTTAGGCTTTCTGTTCTCCTGGCCATTTTCCCCTGGTTCTCTCCCTCTTCAGACCTTCAGCAGTAGCTATGCTGAGGTTTCTGATATAAGTGAGATGCGCAAGGTCACCTAAGCACTCTTTTATATAGTCTCTGCGTGACATTATTCACCACTGGTGGTTACCTCGGCTACCTAGCTCTACCATCGACATAAACAGCACAGCTGATATGGTGTTAATAGTAAAGGGAAATTTTGTCAGAAAACACCTTGTTCATTCACTGCCAGAGTACTTAGAAAAAGAGCTTTGTCAGTCTGTAACACTTTGCAGTGAAAAAAACTTCAGTGTTCGAGTTTAAAAATTAATATAACAATGACAGGGCTACATAAGGCTCAAAGATAAATGAGAAATTATTCAGCTGCTGAAAAGTTTGAAGAAATAACAGGAAGATTATCCCAGCCTATGAAAATTATTTCCAAGTATTTGTCTTCCATGAACTGACGTCAAAATACTGTTAACCATTTAATTGACTATGGCAGTGTTAAACAGTGGATGCTTCCTGAGGTTCTTAAAACCAATCTAATCCACATTTGCTCAAACACTTGGCAAATCTTACAGAAATTTTGACATATTTGAAATGTGAACAGGTCTAGATACAGACTGTAAGAATAGCTTAGCTACTTGTAGTAAATTAAAATTTATAAAGTCTAAAGTAAATTAAGATGACATGTGAACACAGTTTTGTGTACTCCAGTCTATATAGTTGCGACCTAATCAGGCACTGGTTTTAGGCATCAGTTCAAAAAAAGCTTTTATGTCAGAAAAAATTTAAACATTCAGAAAATTATGTTAACTATTTCGCTTAACCAGTGGGTTCTTCTCCTCCTTTCCTAAAACAGGTGGGTTATGAGAATGATACTCAAACTTTATATATTTAAGTTGTTACAAGTTGGGTTTTGTGCTGTGTATTATGAATGTGCGGGGTCTATATCTTCAATGACATGTGAGCCTTTTAGATAATTTTAGCCACATTTGACAAATAGGTCGAGGACTTAAAGGTTATGATCCTCCTGCAAGTGTTGTGAAACGTTGCAGTTGTAGTCCCACTAGGAAAAAAGCTGCAGGATGAGCTCACAACTTGTTATGTATCAGTTAATCCACATGGGAAAGATTGCCTATAAATCCTTCAGCTGCAGCGAAAGCAAACACACAGACAAACACACTTCAACTGGCGATCACAATCCACCATGAGACACAAATCTGTAGGCAGGCTTCATCAGTCATGCTGCTCCTGGAACTACTGCTTTTTAGAAAGATTTAAGAAAAAAAAAACAAACAACAAAACACAGTTACACAGGGTGAACCTGTGGATTTACCCAAAGGCTATGCTGTGATTTGGAGCAATATTTAACAGCCCAGAGAGAAAAGCAAACAGGTTTCACAGCTGATGATTTGTGAGCACTATGCATTTCCCTTTGGTTCACTCCTGGCCACGCATCTGTGTGTGGGCAGCTCTGCCAGCAGACAGGGGACCCTGATGCTTATTTATTCTTGCAAACTTGATGCTGTTATTTTAAAAAATAGAAGTTCTGAGGATAACACAGGCTTTGTTTTCCCTTCCGCCTGTTCTGAGGTGGAGAGGACTGTGGGATGCTTTTAGTCTTAGCACACAACTGCAGAAAAGTCAATCTGTCACAGTTGAGCAGATTTAATATTAGTCATGAATGAGATCATGATTTGCGTACAGTAAGAGTTATTATTTATGGTACAGTGAGCCATGGCAAGAGCTTGTGGGAAGTCATGACTAATTGTAAACAGTCCTGTAGCTGCCAGGGATGGATGAACTCTTTCTTTTACCTAGGGCCAACACTAATAAGTTAACCCATGACCTCTTCTCTTCTAATTCCCTCCTTCTTCACACTCTTGGCTATTTAAAGGAACAAGTAAGTCGCACAAGTTTCTGTACTTTTGTACCAGTATAGAAACATGCAAACAAGCAAAGCATTCACATAGGTTGTTCACTTGAAACAAGAGTTGTTCAGTGGACCACAGAGAAATGTATTTCCAAGGCCAGTCACTCTCAGCAGAACTGCTTGTGTGAATAAAGGTTTTGCAGGGCTGTGACTTTTGATTGAAACAAAACAGTGGATTGGAGGAACAGCAGCAAGAGCTTCACTTGACTTGGCTCACACAGAAATGCAAGTCAGATAGAATGTGTTGTATTGTCAGAATTAGTGACTCAGATTACATTTATTTTATGACATTTGAATGAGGTAAGTGTATGTATATGTTGGAATATATACATTATTCCTGACTTCTTAAAGTTGAATGCCGTCATTTGCAATAAAAAACCACAGCTTATCTATGTTACCTTTGCTATGATGTGTGGAATTCCAATGACACATCACTTCACTTCTTATATTTCACAGTATAAATGTTTTCTTGGCCTGTTTTCCCATGTACTTTTCAAATGTGGAATATGTTGTTGCTGTATATGCAAAACAATCCACAACAGAATTGAGGAAAAGCTTAATTAGGGATCCTCAGTAAAAAGAATGAAAACATGAATCTCTGTGAAGCACTAGTAGAAATATTTATGTTTTAAATGATGAAAAGGAAAAATTAAGGCTAGCATGAGATCAAATAAACAGAGTTGGAAATGAAATGCTAAGGCCACTATTTGAAGAAAAGGACAATAACTATGCCAGTTTGGGGTCCAGGTTTATTGAGGAGTATATAAAAAACTATGCCTCAAAAGACTAGTTTCCTCTGACAAAAGTTCAAAGTTTATCTTCTTTCATGCTCGGTTTGCTCTTGTTCAAAGCCCTAGACCAACTGACTCCCAGACTGTGGTCCATGGTCTCTGAGGTCTCTCATGATAAGTAGCTCATATCCAGTTTGTGAAACCATATCAGCTGTCTAGATTTTTTAAGGTAAAGTTCAGTGATAAGGGTATAGAGTGCTCTGCTGACCCTCTGGAGATGTGACTGTGGTCCACTGGTCCAGAAACTTTGTGGTGCACCTGCTGCTGAGAATATTGTGAGGTTTGGCCTCATTTGGACAAGTGCTGTGTATGTGCTTATTTGCCACTGGTTTTGAATAAGAACTTCACTGTGATCCTGCCCCTGGCAGGCACGGTGGACATCAGGACAGCACTGGGAGAGAGCCTTGAGTATGCATCACCTTGTAAATTGTCCTCTCAGGTTCCCATGCAAGTCATCTTGTATTTTCAAGGGGAAAGGAGCAGAGCTAATTAATGTCCCTCAGCAAAAATATGTTCACGTCCTCTTTCTTACCTTTTCACTGTATGCACTGTTAGTAGAAGAGAGAAGTGCCTACATGCAAATAATATAAACTGCTTTTCAGCATGTAGTCTGCTGAGGTGTTGTGCAGTGACAAAGAAAGGCTGACGCATTTCATCGGATATTTCTCTCCATTCAGCCCTTAAGGAAAGTAAAATCTCATCACATTGCAATATAAAAAAGTGATAGCAGTGTTGATGTGAAAATACCAAGAGACTTTGTAGAATGTTATGTTTTAGGACTGGATAAAACCCTTAAGGATAGTATTAGACTATATTTACTTTGCAGAGCCCATGCAACACCTATGGGAGGAGACGTAATTAATGTGGATGCATCTAAAACTACACTTTCAACTTACCTTGCAATGACAAAGAGGACACAACTGACTCCAAGGCAGGCTAGGAGAACATACATCCAAATATCAGGAGAAAGAGGGTTTAAGAAGGAGAAAACACCAGGGTTTGTCCCATTGGGCTTCCGGTACAAGATACTGATTCCCAGCGTCATGAAGGGCTTGGAAAAATCAATTACCTTCTCTCTTACATAAGTAATAGTGAGAGGAGCAACTGCCAGATCAGCTTTCTGAAAACACAAATGGGAAAATACTTATTCTTTTTCATGTTCAGCAAACACACTACTGTTCCTTCAATTTTTTCCCCCCAAGTGCTAAAAACTAAACCGAATTTGACTATAAATCTGAAGCATGGGACAAAATTTAACATTGCTAGGGCATTACTTGGTACATGACACTCTCTGCTCCTTTGGGAGGCAGAGGGATATTTGTCACTTTCATGGGAGCGGGCAGGAGAGGTATGAGCAGGGATGCAGGGCTCAGTCCTGTGCAATGGGGCAGCCTGTGAGTGAGGACTGCCAGAGAGTCTGGGCAGGGACTACGTCCACAGCTCAGAGGCTGCTGGAGGGCAGAGGTGAGCTGGAAGCTCAACTTTTGCTGTTGGAGTTTGTAACCAAAGGGGTGGGCAGGACCCATTGCCCCACCGCAGATGGAATTTCTCCCCAACACCCGCAAACTGTTGGTTCAGACAAACTGACGTGACTTCCTACTGTGACAAACGGCAATAAAGACAGAGTAGTGTCTCTAAAAAAATCAAAACTAAAGCAAACATTTAATTTTGTCTGACCATATAAAGTACCACAGGAGAAAGGAGAAAAAAAAGAGAGAATTATTCAGTCTTACATGATCTATGAGTTCTTTGACCATCCCATTCCACTCTCCTTTGTCATTCTGGGCTCCATATTTACCATCAGAAACTAGTTTGACCTCATAGATGAAGCCTAAAATATTTGAGAGCTCCTTTAGTAAGTCCAGGCAATAACCCTCGAATCTGTCATTTCCATACAAGGGCTTGTCAGACTTCTTGTACATAACATAGGGATCTTCCTATAGAAAAAGACAGTAGACACATAGCAATAGAAAGGAGGTTTGTTTCAGATCGTATCAGTTTCTCTAAATTATGTGAATATTTTATAAATGGATAGCAATTAGACAGAAACCAGTAATTTACCGTGTCCATTAAAAGCTGCTTTAGATGTGTTAACAAATTGACTGAATCAATTAGTGATAAGCATAAGGGCCCTAATTTTCAGTGGAACAGACCATTCATAGCTCCCAGGAGCTTTAATTAAAGTAGTGCTTAGCAGCTCCAAAGTCAGATCCAAGATCTGTGTTCTATTTTGTCCCACCCTAAGGGACAGGAAGGGATCTTGAAGGAGAGAAGCCTAAAAAACAGAAAAAAGGAGAACCTAAAACTGAATATTCTGTGAGAAATAAATCTTTATTGAAAATAAAATCTTCAAATCTATTAAATAGCTGTGAGTTGAGCAGGTATTCACATGAGAGAAAGGAGAACAGCACAGGTAGATTGCAAAGTACCTTGCTGCTTTTCTTTTTAAAGAATTTTGGATAGAATATCAGGGCAAGTGGGTTTCTGCAGTTTAATGTGGAAAAAGACCTCTGGCAATAGAATAAGCGTGTAGAGGGAGTCTTTGAGCTCTGTCCCTCCTCTTGAGGAATTAGGCAGAATAATTGAAAAAAGGGGTATTACTGTCCAGGGAGAAAGCAGGAGGCTGAATAACTCGTGAATACCCAGTTGCATATTTTCCATTTATCATAGTAAGGACATACCTCAACTTGTCTATCCACTGTTTGTTACTTTCTCTCACTCATCTTCATCTCATTTTCAGTAAAAAGGAAGGATGTAAAAGCACTGACTACAAAGCTGAGTATTTGTGTGTGTTAATTCTTCTGGGAAAAAAAACAACTATGCAGGGTTCATCTCTGAAACATTGAAATAAGCTAAACAATTTTGGAGGCAGAGGTTCCCAAGAGTCTTTCATTGGCAGTGGGGTATTTTTGAATCAATCTTGTGGACAGATGTATATGTTGATTCTGAATCTAAATCAAAAAAATTGATTGAAAACAGGCTAGTTTAACAAAGCATTGTTCAGTGTGTCAGAAAATGGCCATGGAGTGCAGGGGGGAGGTGGTAAAGGTGGTTGCAGAGAGACCCACAACCCACTGTCAGCAGTGCCGGTGTCCTACAGCATGGCGAGTGGCATCACCTCTGCCTGGCGAGACTTACCAAAATGGTGGTGACAATAAGTGTCCGGTTAGCCAAGGAATCGGTGATGTTGGTCGATCGGTCCTTGTTGCTGTCCGTCATGTTAAGGCCACTGTATGAGTTCCAAACCCCAATCTGTGCAGAAGAGAGTGGGTGAGCGGCTGCCCGGGTGCAGTGAGCTGAAACATTTCCCCGAAAGCTCACCGCCGTGCACTGGTTCTAGTCACCATGGAAAGAGACACCAGCAGTACAAAATGCTAGAGAAAGGAAACAGCTGTAGGTCTGAGTGAGGCAGCAACATCAAATAGCTGATTTAGAAAACACAGGGAACACACCGCCCTTTCAAAAGAGGGTGGAAATGAATAAGCTATAGGAGTCTAAGGCACGTCAATACAGTGGTGTGTTAGCCAATTTGCTACAAAAGTGGAACACGTTGACTTTGTTTCCTGCTAAAAAATGTAAAATGTCTATTTTTTATGATTTTTAAAAATTTTTGTAAATGGTAAGAGTTGAAACATATGGCAAGACCTCTCTCTTCCAATACAACAGATTAAAAGCTTGAACAAATACGTTGAAGCAGATTGATGGATGCACTGGCCTTTTGCTTCCACTATGCCTTCAGCAGGTTTAGCAAAGATTATTCTGTCATTTCTTGACTACTATATATGACAGAGTTAGCAAGGTGATACCGTTTCACCCACTGATCAGTATTTGCTCAGTAAATACAAGTGGCCAAAGGCAAATTCCTTTCTAGCCCCAGAGACAATGAAGGATTGCAGTATTTAATGCCCAATCCAAAGCCTCAAGGGAAAGATCTTCACGATTTCAGTGGATTTGGATCTACAATTTACGAGGGCAGAAATTATAACCGTGTTGATTTATTCAGATAAATATTTACTTAACATAAACACAATCTGAAGGCATCTTCAGGTTTTCTTGCCTTTAGATTTACATACCCAGCAAAGCTGAGGGCTGATGTGAAAAAGCTGCAGGCAAGGGGCTGGCTCAGGCAGTTCGGTTTGTATTGGACATTTGTGGAGAGCACCAGACGGATGGCTTCGGGGTCTGACATTGGCCATCCATAGAGCTGTTCGCATCACTGCACCACTGTGCCATGGTGCTTCAGCTCTATCCGGGAGGAATCTGCTTTCAGATGCTCCCTGCTGGGACTGCCAGTGAAGCTGCCAGGTAAGCCTAAGAAAAAACCCACTGACTTGTCCAGTGTACTAAAGGTCTCTATCTGCCATCAGATGCTCGGTCATTTCAGACCCAGGCCAGACTCTTTTTCTTTGGTTGTTAACTGAGGCAGAGATGGCGTTGCCTTTGTACCAAACCCAGCAGATTAGTTTGTGCCTGCTGAGTGTGGATTTGTGGTAATAACTGTATAATTTCAAACAAACTTTGGGTTTGTGTCACTGGGTGCCATTACTTTCACATTTAACAAACCTTTATCCGAAGTATGCTTAATGGGGATAGTCATGCCATTTTTAATTAATTAGTTTTTCAAGTGTTTATTAGTCATTCCCTTTGTTTTCAAAACTAGATCAGGTTGGGAAACTGATCTGGAAAGTACATTGAAAACAAAATGTTGGATATTATGATAGCCTGTGCCAGGAATACAGTGAATAACCAGTGTCCTTGAATTTGCACCAAGGTGGCTGAGTTAATCAAAAAGCTGTTCTGCTCGTTGTTACTGACTTGATATGCTTCTACCAGCTGGCAGCAGGGAAGAGAAGAACAACCATGAAGAACATGGAGTGACACAGTCACAGTGCATACAAAATACACCAGGAGACCACTCTATGTCTGGATAAGAGAATGACACCGCAGGTCAGCCTTGATTAGAGCGATGGAGGAGGTTGGAGGAGCACTGGAAGAATGAGGCCAAGGTAGTACATCACTATGGTGAATCTAGGGGATTTATTGCAGTTTAGTGACAAGTTTGAGAGGTGTCATATGCCCTTCTCAGCAAGCCTGTGCTCTGAACCAATTGTAATTTGGTTTAAATCAAATCAGCGTAACATGAAATGCCTAGAGTCCAAAGTGAGACTGGTTCAATAGCATTCTGCATGTCAGGTAGGATGATCTATTCACCAGTAATGAGGGAAATGGGGGCCTTTGTGCTTTAGCCTGATTCACTGAAGATTAAAACGTTATTAAGTATGTGCTTTATAAGAACACAGAAAG